CGAAAAGCCCGTGGGAAATCTTTCGAGCCCTCCTGGGGTCCAGGCCTTACAAGAACACAACGTCGGGGCCTGGATCTCCTCCCCTTACTCTGAAACAAAACCACGGCGAACGCGACGAAGTCGGATCGGGATGCATCGGGAATCTCTGAGATCCGGCGGTTCTGGAGCAGGTCGGGCGCCGAGGACTTCTCAGAGAGTTCCAGCACGCTCCGCCGATCCTGGGCCCGGATTGCCCTGTCCCTGCGCTTCTGCGCCCTTCCAATCAACGCTTCGTTCTTCTTGAAGGGGCCTCAGGACACACAAATAAAAAGATTCCCGATATGTTCCTATATTTTCTGGGGTTTTGTCTTCCCCCCCACTTCCTATATCTTCGTATATTTTCTGAGGAATCGAGGATTAATTGTGTCTGTGTGTTTCCTCTCCTGACTTCTGCAAGGCTGTCTACACTAAACTCGCGCCTCGCGGCCCGCGATGCGCGACGCGCAACTATCTTCGCGACCTCGATCCGCTCCCGGGTCCCAATGTTTGAGGCCCCATTTCGATCGTACCCAGTGGGCGTCGTTCATCGGCTCCGATCTCAGCGCTCGCATCGTGCTGGGGGCAACTTGCCCCACTTCTATCGGGTTCGCCTGGTGGGGCCGTCAGGACCATTGACGAGACCCAGTGGCCAAGTCTGAAAAAGGACGCCAACTCCCGCTGGACACTGAACCGTAAACTGGACCGTCAGAATGCAGAGAGGGACCATCGAAAAGCACTGGCAAGCCCGAAGCTTAAGTCGGGCATGTCCCCCTACAGGGATATGTTGCAGGAAACATCAAAAATAACCAAAGAGTACCCCAAAATAGTCAAAAACAATGTGTATAAAAATAGTCCCCATACTATGTTTTGACTATTTTTGTATATTCCTCCTGTAGAGGTCGGAAGCGGCCAAGAGGGGGGTGTCCAAGAGGGGAGGGTGCTAATCATGACCCGCGGCATGTGCGCGGCCCGGCGGGGGGGGCCAGGGACGTAATGGAATGAGAAGAGGCGCCATGAAGTCTGGGGAGATATCATGGCCCCCGCCATGATATCCCCCCCCCCCCAGTCATCACCCCCCTCCTTGCCGCCCCCGAAGAGGCACGGGCCCGCCTTCACCCGAGGCCCGGCGAGCTCGAGCCCGTGCTGGCTGCCGGGGCCCTCCGTGGGCGGTGCCTCGGGCTGGGCCCCTGGCCCGCCGCCCCCGCGGACACGGCGCGCCTTTCTCCCGTGGCGTCCTGCGCGGAGCGTGCTGCACCCACACGATCGCGTACCCACAGGGCAAGGCGCCCCAGAATCCTCCTCCTCCTCCTCCTCCTCCTCCTCCTCCTCCTCCTCCCTCCTCCTCCCTCCTCCTCCCCTCCTCCCCCTCCTCCTCCTCCTCCTCCTCCACAGCCTCCCCCTCCCTCTCCCCCTCCCCCTCCTTCCCCTCCTCCTCCTCCTCCTCTTCTCCTCCTCCTCCTCCTCCTCCTTCCCTCCCCCTCCCCCTCCTCCTCCCCCTCCTCCCCTCCTCCTCCACCTCCTCCCCTCCCTCTCCCCCTCCCCCTCCTTCCCCTCCTCATCCTCCTCCTCCTCCTCCTCCTCCCCTCCTCCTCCTCGCCTCCTCCTCCTCCTCCTCCTCCTCCTCCTCCTCCTCCTCCTCCTCGTCCTCCTTCTCCTCCTCCTCCTCCTCCTCCTCCTCCCTTCCCCGCCCCAGGATCCAGACCGCGAGAGCGCGGGCATGGATGCTTCCCGAGATCCGCCCACGCAGCGACTCTCTCGCAGCGTGGCTCCAGGTCCCGAAATACCGAGCTGCTGTTTAACGGTCCCAGGTGCTTGTGGGGTCCCCCACGGGCCGAAAACTTAGAGAAAGAAATAATAGCCCGCTGCGATTGTTGCATAAAGAGCCACAGCTGGAGCCCAAGACCCTATCTCTATGCGCGATCGTTCTGCCTGGATTGGTCTGTGATGGTGCCATGGCCCAGCAAGCTTGGCGTGAAGACCAGCGACCGTACCTCCTGGTATCCGCGGGCCCGCGCCCCGGAAGCCCACGCGTGGAGATGGATACGTCTGCCGCTCGTAAGCCCTGACGGATCTTGCGTTCGCGCCCCCCCGGGGGAGCCACGGGTCCTCTCGCTCCACTGGCACGGGCATCGCCCTGGGGCCGCGGTTTTCGCCGTCCACAGCGCCGAACCTCTCGGGGCGAGGAGCAGGGGGCGCTCACCACCACGCCGTCGTCGTCCTCGTCTACCTCCTCCTCCTCCCCCTCCTCCTCCTCCTCCTCCTACCTCCTCGTCTACCTCCTCCCCCTCCTCCTCGTCTACCTCCTCCTCCTCCTCCTCCTCCTCCTCCTCCTCCTCCTCCTCCTCCTCGTCCTCGTCTACCTCCTCCTCCTCCTCGTCTACCTCCTCCTCCTCCTCCAACTCACAGACTTGCCCGGACCGTGACAAAAACACGGCGGTAGGTGTTTGGCAAATGTTCGCCTGTGGGAGCCCCTGCCAGGCCCTGTCAGAAAACGACTCGGGGCAACAAAAACAAGCAATCCTTCTCATCCCTCTCTCCCCCTCCTCCCGTCCCCCCCCAACGCACCAAAGACGACAGGTGTCCCCAAGAGGCCACCAAGAGACCCCGAAGAAGCCCACGAGAGTCTTAAGAGACATCCTCCAATGAACACAACGCCCCATCCTCCGGAGGGGGCAACAAGCGGTCGGTACCCCGCCCGGTTTTTGTTACCCCTTGTCCGATGCGCGAGCCACGGCACTCGTGTGATGCTGGCCAGCCGCGCAAACGTTGCCTCAGCGGGGTTATCCGGCGGGGGCGGTCGGTATCTTGACCGACCTCGCCGAGACTGGTGCTTTGACCGATCGCTGCGGCCCCCCCGAGCCAAGCGCTATCTGTAGCCCTGGCCACCTCGGCGGCCTCTCAAGCACTCCTCCTCCCCCCCCTACTCTCTCCACACGTGCACCCTGGTACCCAACTGCAGACCGCCACGCGCAACGATCTCCCCTGCGACCCGAGGTCACAGACAAATTCGTAGAACAGAACTCCGACGTCACAAACAACCTGACGTCACGTCTCGAGCAGACCACTAATCTCTCTGCTGCATTCTTCGAGCCGGGTCGATCCGACCCACCCCGCGAAGCACCCGACCCCGCGACCCACCCCTCGCCCGCCCCCGCACTCTCATCCGCCATTGCCGGGGGTGCTTCGGCATGTCTAAGACGTTGGAGGTCTGGGTTGAGAGAACGGCCTCCTAGGTGCGGTCCGAGTAGATGGGGTCGAAGGATCGCTCCGCATCGCCAATGCATCGCTGATGTATCGGCGATGCACCGGGCGACGTCGGCGTGGGAAAACACGGTCTCCACATCGAGCCGCATCGTCGATGCATCGGCGATGCGTCGCGAGCCTCCGACCCCTCGGACCCTATCCAGGAGGCCTAGCTGAGATCGGGGAGCAGCCTGGAAAGCCGCCCGGAGGTGGAGGAGGAGGAGGAGGAGGAGGAGGAAGAGGAGGAGGAGGAAGAGGAGGAGGAGGAGGAGGAGGAGGAGGAGGAGGAGGGGGAGGAGAGGAGGGGAGGAGGAGGAAGGAGGAGGAGCTGGAAGAGGAGGAGGAAGAGGAGGAGGAGGAGAGGAGGAGGAGGAGGGAGGAGGAAGGGGGAGGGGGGAGGGAGGAGGATAGAGGAGATGGAGGAGAGGAGGAGGAGGAGGAGGAGGAGGAGGAGGAGGAGGAGGAGGAGGAGGAGGAGAAGGAAGAGGAGGAGGATGGAGGAGGAGGAGGAGGGAGATGAGGAGGAGGAGAAGGAGGAGGAGGGTGAGGAGGAAGTCGCTCAAGGCCCCCCCCTCAGCGGGCCTCACGGCGTGGGGGCGCTGCGGGGCGACGGGGCCCGCGCAGGCCTGCGCCGCCAGCCGCCGCGCCTGCCGGGCGCCGCCGCGCTGCTGCAGGCGCAGGCCCTGGCAGGAGGATCCCGACTGCGCATCCGCCGCACTCCTGGGCCGGTTTGGAAGCCTCTTGGGCCCGGCTTGGAGCTCTCTTGGCCCATCCACCTGGAGGCCCCCCACTCTGGGGCCCTCAAAACCGCCTCTTGGCGCCCTCGTGGCGCCAGCTTGGGGCGTCCTTGGGGCCGGTTTGGAAGCCACTGAGGCCCGGCTTGGGGCTTTCTTGGGCCATCCACCTGGAGGCCCCACCCAACCCGAAGACCCGGATTTCGGGTTGGGGGGGGTACGGGTTCCATGTGCGTTTGCTCCATGCTCCCGGACCCCCCCCCCACTGGAAGCGGAAGACAGATTGAGGCCTTGCGGGTTGGGTGGGGGGGTGGTTTGGTGGGCGGTGATGGGCCCCGTCGTGCACCCAAAGCGGGCCATCGGGTCGCATCCCCAGTCGTGCGACGTCCTGATTTTTTCAGGACGGCGTCCCTGGAATTCCCGACACTTTCTCCGGGACAAGTTTTTCGTCTTGAGTCGTTTTTTGACAGTCCCGAGGCCTGGCGAGGTCCCCCCGAGGCTGAAAATAGCCAAAAACCTCCCGTCCTGATTTTTTACCGACGCGATCATGTCTGGGTCGGGAGCGAATCGCAGCGGGGTCGGAATCCGATCGGGCCGGGCGAGCTCGACGTCGAGATCAGATCGACCGGAGTGAGGAGGAGGAGGAGGAGGAGGAGGAGGAGAGGAGGAGGACGAGGAGGAGGAGGGAGGGAGGAGGAGGAGGAGGAGGAGGAGGAGGGAGGAGTTGGAAGAGGAGGAGGAGGAGAGGGATCGAGGAGGGGGATCGAGGAGGAGGAGGAGGGCGCGGAGGAGGATGGAGGAGAAGGAGGAGGAGGAGGAAAAAGAGGAGGAGGAGGAGGAGGAGGAGGAGGGAGGAGGAGGAGGATGGAGGTGGGCCCGGCACATGCGGCCGCCCCGGGGGCCGAGGCCGCCCGGGGCTGCCGGGGGGACGCCGAGGCCCGCCTGGTCTGACTTCGGCTGCGCCATGCTCTGGGCCATGTCGCTCGGGGATGGACAGACCCCCCTTTAGTAAAACGTGGTTTAGTGAAAACGACCTGAGGCCCAAACCTGGCGGGCGCAAGCCTGGAAAATAACGGCCACGGCGCCCTCTCGAGAACCGAAAACGGACAATTCACTAATCGACGTGTCACTGTTGGGGGTTCTGTCCACCCCCGAGTCGCCAGTAGGGCGGTAAGCTCCGCCCTACTCTTCAAGCTGCTCTGATGCCGAATTCCGCCCTGCTGCGAGGGGCATACATCGGAGAGGGAAGAGGTACCGATACCTCTACCCCTCGCCCGTGTTCCCCTTTGGGGGCCTCCTGGGAGGACTTCGTCGCCACCGCTGGATTCGCCTGAAAATCCTGGTCAGAACGCACCCCGGGAGAGGTCTGGCGGGTAGCGGTATCGGTACCCTGTGGTTCCCCCAATATAAGGAACCATTGGATAAGGAGCCCCAGGTTGGGAAGCTGGTGGAACTCCACTAGTGGACTGGCCATGGATGCCACCGCCATCATCAGGTAAGAACCCCCCTAGTGTATGAAGCCTCCTGGGAGCATTCAGCAACCAATGCCCCCACCGTGCGTTGCTTTCGCTATTTCCGCCACGCTTTCGTGGAAATCACAGGAGACCTCTGGGCGTGAGTGGTTTTAAAGGATTATTCTTCCATATATCCTCGTCCCCTTCGGGGAAGGGTTTGCTACTGTTCCGTCTTACATATGAACTATGCGCGGACGCCCCGCGATCATTTTGCATTGGCTTCTGACACGGACGGCGGGGTGCCGGCATATGCTGCATGCAATGCCACCCCCCTCCAAATCATCCCTTGCAAGAAACAAAACAGAGTGCACTTTGCACGAACGCCCCGCCATCATTTTGCATTGGGCATTGGCCAGGTTGGCGGGGGGGGCTGGCATATTGCCTGCTGTGTGCAGCGACAGAAAACGCAAACAATCCCCTGCATCAGAAAAATGCAAAGTGCACTTTGCACCAAACTCTGGATCATGCGCGCACGCCCCGCGATCACTTCGCGCTGGATTTCGACAGGGACAGCGGGGGGTCTGGCACATTGCCTGCTGCGTGCCGGAACAAATCCAATATTCAATTTGCCAGGGGCGGCGGGTTGGCGGCATGTTGCATGTTGTGTACAGGCTTGAATACTCTGCTTATTAAGAAGCAAATGCAACACATTGCGGGCGCACACCAACATACAATGCAATGGTCGCAACATCGCTGTCACTTTGCATGGCTTTTGGCCGGGATGGTGAGTCGGTCGAGATGTTGCCCAATGTGGCGTGGCGTACCTGCCGCGCGTGGCGCACCTGGAACGTGCGGTGCACCTCGCGGGAATCGCGCAAGCCTGGCTGGCTTCTGCATGGGTTTCCGATGGTTGTCCATAGCCGCCCCTGCCTGTGCTGACAATCGAGCGCTACTTATGTAATCGGGAGGCGGCTGGGCGTGAGCGACGCGGCTTGCGGCTAGGGGTAGCTTGATCACTGCTCCATCTTACTGTGCACCACCTTCCCCACCCGACCGACAACAAACCCGGAACATTGCGGGCACCCCCCCCATTCTTGAGAAAAACAATACACAATGCACTGCGGTCCAACATCGGGATCACGCGTGGAAGCCCCGCGATCATTCTGGATCGGTTTTTGATGCGGGGGGCGGGGGTGCCGGCATAGTGCCTGCTGCGTGCAATGCCCCCCGAAAACCAGACCTTGCATCCAAACATGCAGAGTGCACTTTGCACCGAAATCTGGATTCTGCGCGAACGCCCCACCATCACTTTGCATTGGAGATGGGCAGGGGCGGCGGGGAGGCAGACATAGTACCTGCTGCGTGCAACGCCAATTAGCCATCCCCTGCATCAGAACAAGGCAGAGTGAACTGTTACACCAAAATCTGGACCATGCGCGCACGCCCCGCGATCACTTTGCACTGGATTTTGACAGGGACAGCGGGGGGGCCAGCACAATGTCTGCTGCGTGCAGGCCCACCAACCCTTTTCACAACAAATCCAAAATTCGCGTTGCCAGGGACGGCGGGGGAAACGGCATCACTATTCTGCCAAGGAAAGACACGATCAAAGTGCTTGAGGGTAAACACCTAAACCCGCCGTCACTTTGCATGGTTTTTGGCGGGGATGGTGAGAAGGTCGAAATCTTGCCCAATGTGGCGTGGCGCACCTGGCGCGCGTGGCGCACCTGGCACGTGCGGCGCATCTCGCGGGAATCGTGCGACCCTGGCTGGCGTCTGCATTGGTTTCCGATGGTTGTCGATGGCGGCCCCTGCCTGTGCTGACTGTCGAATGATACTTATGTTGTGGGAGGGCGGGTGGGCGTGAGCGGCGCCTGTCAACAAAAACAATAAGAACTACACTTCGCGGGTAAATCTGGACCATGCGCGAGCACCCCGCAGTCTCTTCGCTCGTCGCATTGGTTTTTGGCAGGGTCGGCGGGGGTGCTTGCAATTGCCTGCTGTGTGACTGCCCACCGTAGGTCATGATGGCCACCCCACCGTGGATTTCGACAAGGACGGTGTGGACCCACATGCTCCCCGATGTGCGCTGGCGCACCTGGCATGCCCTGCGCGTGCCCCGAAAGTGGCGCACCTGGCGCGGCTGGAGCAGGCGGCACACGTGGCGCGCGTGGAGCACGTGGCGCAGCTGACGCACCAGGCGTGCCTGGCACGTTTGGCCCCCAGGTGCGCCTGGCGCGCCTGGTGCGCGTGGCGCGCCTGGTGCGCGTGGCGCGCCTCGCTCCAGCGTCGCGCACCTGGGATCTGTTTTGCTTCTCGCTATCTGCCCGTTCTAAGACGGCCGCTGAATATGCTGAGAGTCGGGTACTGCGTATGTGTTTGGGAAGGCAGGTGGGAGTGAGCCAAACAGTGCGTCTGGGAAATGTGTTTGGACCCCTCCCCTACCCCTTGGACCTGGACGGGGGGGGTCGCAACCGATCGGAGCGTCCAAGATGGCCCAACAGAGGATTCCGAGAAGGCATCAGAGAGCCGAGGATGACCTACAACATGATCCACGATGACCCACCCACGAAGGCCTCCAAAATGCTCCCAGGAGGCCAGAAGACCGCTCCGAGACGGCTCCAAGTGACCTCGGAGCCGCCCGAGGAAGCCACCAAGAGACCCCAACCCTTCAAACACCTCCGGAACATCAATGTGTGTTGCGTTCTCGCCTTTTCGCTTCAGACGGCCCTCCGAGGCCGCAAGATGCTCCAAGAAGGCGCAGAAGTGCCCCAGGAAGAGCCCAAGAAGATCCAAAGACGACCCCAAGAGCGCTCAAAGAACGCCCCAAGAGAATCCTAAGAGGCGTTTTTAAGCAGCTGTAGATGGAGAGGCGCCAATTGACCCCCCTTGTTTCATCGAACTCCTCCGCGATGGCCCCAAGAAGCCCCCGAGGCTCCCAAGACGCTCCAAGAGGCCCCCGGGACCGCCAAGAGGCCCCCAAGACGCCCCAAGAGGACTCCAAGAAACTCTCAAGAGATATCCGAAGAGACTCCGTGAGGCATCCGAGAGGCCTCCGGCCTTTCTGCTCGCCGTCCTCCTCTTCCTCCTCTTCCTCCTCTTCCTCATTCGCATATTCCTTCTCTTCCCTCCTCCCTCTTGCCCCTCCTCCTCTTCCTCGACCTCCTTCTCCTCCGATTCCTCCTGATTCGTCCTCCTCCTCTTAGGGTATGACGGCTTAAACCAGCCCTTTATTCCACTACGTACTCATCCACATCCCTGACCAGGGCAACTCGCCCCGGCATCGTTTCTGGATGAGCTGGTGGGGTTAATTAATCGAAACGTCCAGAATATCCGCCATCCGTGACTGAAGCATGAATTTCCGCCCTACGATTTCGCATCGTTCGGGGTGACTTTCCGACGAAATTCGGGCGTTGGCAGAACTGAGTTTAGTTGGACCTGGCTTGATGATGTGCACTGCAGGACATCCCTCCCCCCGCCCCAGTCCACAAACCGAAACTGTCAACTGAAAAACAAAAACTACGGCAAACTTGGTTCAATGGTCACAATATTGACTTCGGGGCCCATTCATTAACCGGCTCCCCTTCACAGGGGTCCTGGCCCTATGCCCGAGAAATGCTCGATCGGAAAATCAGCCAGAGCACGGCGGATCCGAACTCCGGGGAGGGCAGCCCATGGGACGCAGGGGGACATCGCCAGACCCCCTCGCGTCGTGACAACATAAAACCCGACGGAAGGCGTCTGGACCGCTCTCTCGGCAGCATGGCTCGAGCTCAACAGTATGCTTCGCTTTCGTGTTGTTTTCGCTTTCCTTCGTTCTGTCTGTCCTCTGCCTTGGCTGCGAAACGAGATGAAAACGAAAACGGTCGACGAGATCAAACAAACAGAAGAAAGGTTCAGCTCGAGCCCTGCTCGGCAACGAGGGGCACCCGCTGAGCCCCAGGACCGTCAGATACCAGCTGCCGTGAGACGCCGCTCCCGGGTAATGGGTCGAGCCCTAACATTATGTCGGGCGTGTCCCCCTACAGGGGGATTTTTGTCAACGAAAAATAATGTTAAAAATATCCTGGTGCGACCCTACCTAGAAGTTGGAGCCCCTAGGAAAGCAGCATTAGTTGCTATGATATGCGATGCTATGCCATGCTATGCGGCGCTGTGCTATGCTATGTTATGATATAGTATGCTATGCTGCGCTATGCTATGATATGCTATGATATGTTATGATATGCTATGCTATGCTATGCTTTGCTACGCTATGATATGTCATGCTGCGCTGTGCGATGCTGATATATGCTATGCTATGATATGATATGCTAGGCTGCGCTATGCTATGCTATGCTATGATCTGCTGTGCTATGGTATACTATGATATGCCGCGCTATGTTATGCTATGCTATGTTTGGCTATGCTTGGCTATGTTATGCTATGCTATGCTATACTAATGCAGCGCTGCGTTATGCTAAGCTAAGCTAAGCTAACCCTCTAGGCAGAGCCTAGGTAGGGAATTACACCCATGCAAATTGCTTTGCCTTTCCTTTGCTTTGCTGTTGCTTTTGCTTTGCTTTGCTTTGCGTTGCTTGTGCTTTGCTTTGCTGTCGCTGCTGTTGCTTGGTTTTTGTTTTGCTGCTGTGCTATGCTATGCTCTGCTATGCTATGTTATGTTATGCTGCGCTGTGCTATGCTGTGCTATGATGTGCTGCGCTATGATATGCTATGCTATGCTATGCTATGCTATGATATGCTATGCTATGCTATGCTATGCTGCGCTACGCTGTGCTATGCTGGGCTTTGCTATGGTATGCTGTACTGCGCTGTGCTGTGCTACGCTCTGCTATGCTATGCTGTGCTCTGCTATGCTACAGCTCAGCGAAGCTAAGATGAAGGTAAGTTAAGCTAAGATAAAACTGAGGTAAGATGAGTCTACGCGAAGGTAATATGAAATAAGCTAAGCTAAGATGAGATAAGCAACGCGAAGCTAAGGGAACGTCACTGGGGGAACCGCGGGGCGGATGCCGGGGGAACCGCCCGGGGCGGGCCCCACTGCCCGGCCCTTTAAGCCACCGAGTAAGAACCCTTCTAGGCAGAGCCTAGGTAGGGAAATACCCCAGAAAGGCAACAGAAATAGTCCAAAAATAGTCCCCAGACTATGTTTGGAGTATTGTTTGACTATTTTGGGGGTATTTTTGCGTTTCTTCGAAAATCCCTCTGTAGGGGGACAGGCTCGACTTAATCCTAACATCAGAATTGCGACATGACTTTGTCAACTGGCGCGCGTTTCCTCAACTTCGGCACTGTCGGGCCCCGGGGCCATGACTGACCCGGGGCGAACAGCTACCCCCGGGGACGCGGTCCGGGACCTCTGGGGCTGCACATTGGAAACCGTGCGTCGTATGATGTCTGCGAACTGGTACAATACTACAACCGAAAATACGTTCAAGAAGATCATCATTAACAAAACACCTTTGCCAGCCACCAGGAAGATGACAGTCGAGGCGTTGCCCTAAGGAACCCTAAATAAGGAACGAGGCCCATTTTTTTCAATAAGTTAACCTTCGATTTCCTGTCGAAACATAAGGGAAGCCTGAGGCAAGCTGTGAAACACTTACGGAACGCGGAGCCCCTCCCCAACGAAAAGGGTTCCCTGTTCAGCGCCCCGACTGTACAGTACTACCACCGAAAATACGTTCAAGAAGATCATCATTCACAAAACACCTGGTCCAGCCGCCAGGAAGTGTCTCGAGACCAGCCTGGGCCACGTGCTCGTGCGAACGCCGGAGAGGCGAACGCGCTCCAGGAGCCGGGCCGGCGATTCCCGGCAGCTGGGCCAGGAAACGTTGGCCCAGCCTCTCGAGAAGAAGTCTCTCTCTCCACCAGATGGCCGACTGCACTAAAGGGGCCCCAGGACACAAAAATGAATACACACAAATAAAAATATTCCCCATACTTTCCCATATTTTCTGGGTTTTTGTCTTCCCGCCCAATTCCCATATTTTCCCATCTTTCCCGGGGAATCGAGGGTTAATTGTGTTTGTGTGTTTTTTTCCTCTCCTGACTCTCCACCAGATGGCCGACTGCGTACAGCCGGCCCGTATCATCAGAATGCGCGAGGAGAGACGCAAGGGCCTTGGACGACCACTTCGAGGCTTCTCGAGCGGGGCGCGGCCGACGAAAATGGCCGAAAGGATGGGCCGAGGACTCTGTCCATCGGCCCGAGGGAAACAGCCATGGATGGGCCGAGGATGGGCCAACGAGAATGGCCCAAGGATGGGCCAAGGATGGGCCAACGAAATCCTTCCTGTGCGGGTGGGCTGGCTGTGTGCGCTGGCCGAAGCCTCGGCCACTCGGAGTCCGCTTTGGACATGCCGCGGCTGGCGCTTCGGGGGGCCGCACCGAGCGGAGCCGGAGCCGGGGGGCCCGCAAAAGGAGGTCGCCCGGCCCTCGTGTGTAATTTCCCCGCGCCTCCTGCGAGCAGCGCCGGTGGGGCACAGAAGAGCGTTCGGCGGTGGACAAACCTCACTTCAGTAAACCACCCTTTAGTGAAAACAGCCTGGGACCGAAGCCGACGGACCTGGACCCGCAAAAACAACGGCCGCGACGCCCTCTCGCGAACCGAAAACGGCCGATTTGCTGATCGACGTGTCAGGGTAGGAGGTCTATCAACCTCCGAACCATGCTAGCACCACGTGGCGGGTTCGGGGAACGCTGCATCCCAGAACGTGGCATCTCCTGGAAGGCCCCTGGAGGCCGAAGACGACGAAAGGAGCGCAGGGATCGGGAAGGTCCGTCCCTCGGAGCTGTGGGTTCGGGAGATGCTGGATCCCAAAAGATGCGTCTCTTGGAGGGCTCCATGGAAGCAGAAGCCGAGAAGAAAGAGAGCGCAGGGGTTAAACATCTCGGAAGACGGAGTGATGCAACGATTGGATCGACTCAGGATACGTTGCAAGAATTCCAGAGTATCTAGCGGCCCTCGTTTCTACAGCCCGTGTGGAATATCCGGGAAACTTTCGGAAATCCTGAAAATCGTCGAACGTACTTGTAGCACCCCGCAGTTGCGGATAAGAAGGAGGGGGCGGGTATGAGGTGGGTCGCGGGCGGGTCGCGGGCGGGTCGCGGATGGGTCGCGACAGGGTCGCGGGCGGGTCGCGGGCCGGGTCGCGAGTGGGACGACAACAACAACGATCATTGCAAGGCTGTTCGCTCTCGTGCCATTCAACACGTGCATCCCGCACCCTCGCTACCCGTCCCCTTCGTCTTCGCCCGTGCCCCCCCTTGGGGGGTAAGTCTTCCCTGCCTGCCGAGTGCGGTCGGCGCAGCCCCCACGAGAGGGGAGGGAAGAGAGGAGGGAAGAGCAAGGGGGGAGGGAGAAGGACGGAGCACAATAGAGATCTGCAGGAGGAGGATCAGAGGCCAAAGGGGCGGGTCGGGCGGGCGGACCCTAGCGGGCAGGTCGGGCGGGCGGGCTCAGACGGCCGAGTCGGGCGGGCGAGCCGCTGAACCGTCGATCCAACATGGCTCGCAGGGAAGCTTCGAGCGATAGCGCGATTCCAAGCAAACTCGTGAGGAAATCCACAGTGAGAACGTGATTACTGAGTCTAGAGGGCACGGCGCCACATTGCGAGGAAATGCCACGCGAGAGAACGACTTCTGTACACATTATGACGACATCCCGCGCGAGAGCGCGATGTTGAAATACATTGTGAGGACGTGTCAAGAGGGAGCCATTGTTGTTGCAAGTGGGGGGCCAAGGGCCCAATCTGAGCCGCAAGACTTTCCATTGTAACAAAAAGGGTGCGAGCACCAGGCGGGGCACTGTAGTTCAAAAGCACAGTGGGCACTGAAGGGTGGGGATCAACAACACTTGTTGTTTAGAAATGAAAACTCAACGCAGCAACAATCCGCACCACGGAACCCCACAGCAGCAACGCGCCTGGGGACAGTGAATGACCGTTCGGCCCCCTCACGCTGATCATTATCATGACCTCTTGCCCCTCCGAGATCAATCCCACGGAGCTCTTGGGATGCCTCGGGCCCGCCTGGGCGAGCGCACGCCGCATCCTGCCGGCTGCACGCGCGAGCCCGACCCCAGGCAGAAGTGGCCCTTGGCGCGCCCGCTTGCCGAGCGCTGCGCTATGCTAAGCGATGATATGCCATGCTATGCGGCGCTATGCTATGCTATGTTATGATATGTTATGATATGCCGCGCTATGATATGATATGCTATGATATGATATGCGATGCTATGATAAGCTATGATATGTCAGGCTGCGCTGTGCGATGCTGAGATATACTATGCTATATAATATGCTAAGCTGCGCTATGCTATGCTATGCTATGATATGTTATGATATGATATGATATGACGGCATCCGCCGACACCCTTGAGATGTCACCGGCGTGCAACGTACTGCCCCGACTCCACCACCCGAAAAGCCCCAAGGACGACCACGGAACCCTCGGAGAGAACCCCCAAACACCCCGTGCATGCCTGATACCCCCCGCGACAGGGCCCCCCAAACGGCGCCCATGCGCGACGGCCCGCCCAACAACACCCGAACACAGTTCAAGGTCACCACCTGAATCTTTCCCACAGCTTGCAAAGAAGCCGTGATAACGACCACGCGGGAAAAAAGGGGTCGGCGGATATGGCGTAAGCCTATAGAATATGATATGAAATACTATGATATGCTGCGCTATGCTATGCTATGATATGTTTGGCTATGCTTGGCTATGGTATGCTATGCTATGCTATGATAATGCAGCGCTGCGTTATGCTAAGCTAAGCTAAGCTAACCCTCTAGACAGAGCCTAGGTAGGGAATTACACCCATGCTAATTGCTTTGCCTTTCCTTTGCTTTGCTGTTGCTTTTGCTTTGTTTTGCTTTGCGTTGCTTGTGTTTTGCTTTGCTGTCGCTGCTGTTGCGTTGTGTTTGTTTTGTTGCTGTGCTATGCTATGCTCTGCTATGCTATGTTATGCTATGCTGCGCTGTGCTATGCTGTGCTGTGATGTGCAACGCTATGCTATGCTATGCTATGCTATGCTATGCTGCGCTACGCTGTGCTATGCTGGGCTTTGCTATGATATGCTGTACTGCGCTGTGCTGTGCTACACTCTGCTCTGCTATGCTGTGCTCTGCTATGCTAAAGCTCAGCGAAGCTAAGATGAAGGTAAGCTAAGCTAAGGTAAAACTTAGGTAAGATGAATCTAAGCTAAGGTCATATGAAAAAAAGCTAAGCTAAGATGAGATGAGCAAGGCGAAGCTAAGGGAACGTCACTGAGGGAACCGCGGGGCGGATGCCGGGGGAACCGCCCGGGGCGGCCCACTGCCCGGCCCTTTAAGCCACCGAGTAAGAACCCCTTCTAGGCAGAGCCTAGGTAGGGAAATACCCCAGAAAGGCAACAAAAATAGTCCAAAAATAGTCCCCAGACTATGTTTGGAGTATTGTTTGACTATTTTGGAGGTATTGTTGCGTTTCTTCGAAAATCCCCCTGTAGGGGGACAGGCTCGACTTAATCCTAACATCAGAATTGCGACATGACTTTGTCAACTGGCGCGCTTTTCCTCAACTTCGGCACTGTCGGGCCCCGGGGCCATGACTGACCCGGGGCGAACAGCTACCCCCGGGGACGCGGTCCGGGACCTCTGGGGCTGCACAGTGGAAACCGTGCGTCGTATGATGTCTGTGAGCTGGTACAATACTACAACCGAAAATACGTTCAAGAAGATCATCATTAACAAAACACCTTTGCCTGCCACCAGGAAGATGACAGTCGAGGCGTTGACTTAAGGAACCCTAAATAAGGAACGAGGCCAATTGTTTTCAATAAGTTGACCTGAGGCAAGCTGTGAAACACTGAAGGAACGCGGAGCCCCTCCCCAACGAAAAGGGTTCCTTGTTCAGCGCCCCGACTGCACAGTACCACGACCGAAAATACGTTCAAGAAGATCATCATTCACAAAACACCTGGTCCAGCCGCCAGGAAGTTTCTCGAGACCAGCCTGGGCCACGTGCTCGTGCGAACGCCGGAGAGGCGAACGCGCTCCAGGAGCCGGGCCGGCGATTCCCGGCAGCTGGGCCAGGAAACGTTGGCCCAGCCTGTCGAGAAGAAGTCTCTCTCCACCAGATGGCCGACTGCACTAAAGGGGCCCCAGGACACAAAAATTAATACGCACAAATACAACGATTCCCCATACTTGCCCATATTTTCAGGGTTTTTGTCTTCCCGCCCAATTCCCATAGTTTCCCATCTTTCCCGGGGAATCGAGGATTAATTGTGTTTGTGTGCTTTTTTCCTCTCCTGACTCTCCACCAGATGGCCGACTGCGTACAGTCGGCCCGTATCATGAGGATGCGCGAGGAGAGACGCAAGGGCCTTGGACGACCACTTCGAGGGTTCTCGAGCGGGGCGCGGCCGACGAAAATGGCCGAAAGGATGGGCCGAGGACTCTGTCCATCGGCCCGAGGGAAACAGCCATGGATGGGCCGAGGATGGGCCAACGAGAATGGCCCAAGGATGGGCCAAGGATGGGCCAACGAAATCCTTCCTGTGCGGGTGGGCTGGCTGTGTGCGCTGGCCGAGGCCTCGGCCACTCGGAGTCCGCTTTGGACATGCCGCGGCTGGCGCTTCGGGGGGCCGCACCGAGCGGAGCCGGAGCCGGGGGCCCCGCAAAAGGAGGTCGCCCGGCCCTCGTGTGTGTAATTTCCCCGCGCCTCCTGCGAGCAGCGCCGGGGGGGCACAGAAGAACGTTCGGCGGTGGACAAACCTCACTTAAGTAAACCACCCTTTAGTGAAAACAGCCTGGGACCGAAGCCGACGGACCTGGACCCGCAAAAACAACGGCCGCGACGCCCTCTCGCGAACCGAAAACGGCCGATTCGCTGATCGACGTGTCAGGGTAGGAGGTCTATCAACCTCCGAAACATGCTAGCACCACGTGGCGGGTTCGGGGAACGCTGCATCCCAGAACGTGGCATCTCCTGGAAGGCCCCTGGAGGCCGAAGACGACGAAAGGAGCGCAGGGATCGGGAAGATCCGTCCCTCGGAGCTGTGGGTTCGGGAGATGCTGGATCCCAAAAAGATGCGTCTCTTGGAGGGCTCCATGGAGGCAGAAGCCGAGAAGAAAGAGAGCGCAGGGGTTGAGCATCTCGAAAGACGGAGTGATGCAAAGATTGGATCGACTCAGGATACGTTACAAGAGTTCCAGAATATCTAGCGGCCCTCGTTTCTACAGCCCGTGTGCAATATCCGGAAAACTTTCGGAAATCATGAACATCGTCGAACGTACTTGTAGCACCCCGCAGTTGCGGATAAGAAGGAGGGGGCGGGTATGAGGTGGGTCGCGGGCGGGTCGCGGGCGGGTCGCGGATGGGTCGCGACAGGGTCGCGGGCGAGTCGCGGGCCGGGTCGCGAGTGGGACGACAACAACAACGATCATTGCAAGGCTGTTCGCTCTCGTGCCATTCAACAGGTGCATCCCGCACCCTCGCTACCCGTCCCCTTCGTCTTCGCCCGTGCCCCCCCTTGGGGGGTGAATCTTCCCTGCCTGCCGCGTGCGGTCGGCGCAGCCCCCACGAGAGGGGAGGGAAGAGAGGCGGGAAGAGACAGGGGGGGGGGAGAAGGACGGAGCACCTCAGAGATCTGCGGGAGGAGGGTCAGAGGCCAAAGAGGCGGGTCGGGCGGGCGGACCCTAGCGGGCAGGTCGGGCGGGCGGGCTCAGACGGCCTAGTCGGGCGGGCGAGCCGCTGAACCGTCGATCCAACATGGCTCGCAGGGAAGCTTCGAGCGATAGCGCGATTCCAAGCGAACTCGTGAGGAAATCAACAGTGAGAGCGTGATTACTGAGTCTAGTGGGCACGGCGCCACATTGCGAGGAAGTGCCACGCGAGAGAACGAATTCTGTCTACATCATGACGACGTCCCGCGCGAGAGCGCGATGTTGAAATGCATTGTGAGGACGCGTCAAGAGGGAGCCATTGTTGTTGCAAGTGGGGGGCCAAGGGCCCAATATGAGCCGCAAGACTTTCCATTGTAACAAAAAGCGTGCGAGCCCCAGGCGGGGCACTGTAGTTGAAAAGCACAGTGGGCACTGAGGGGTGGGGATCAACAACACATGCTGTTTAGAAATGAAAACTCAACGCGGCAACAATCCGCACCACGGAACCCCACAGCAGCCACGCGCCAAGGGACAGTGAATGACCGTTCGGCCCCCTCACTCTGATCATTCTCATGACCTCTTGCCCCTCCGAGATCAATCCCACGGAGCTCTTGGGATGCCTCGGGTCCGCCTGAGCGAGCGCACGCCGCATCCTGCCGGCTGCACGCGCGAGCCCGACCCCAAGCAGAAGTGGCCTTTGGCGCGCCCGCTTGCCGAGCGCTGCGCGCCACACGACGGCAGCATTCTCAGATCCCCCCGCGTCACGGCAAAGTCGCGACTGGAGGCTCTCGGCTACTTTCGCCCCCCGGGGGCCCTCGCCGTGCCCCAGGGCCGTCGAACAACGACCGGGGATGCAAAACGGGCCCCGGGGAATCGGTCGAGACCTCTGGAAGTCCGCGCTATGAAAAATGACAGCATCAGCGACGAACGATCAACAAGCACCCATACCCATAGGGGGGGACGGAATGAGCTATGGGTGCGTGTTGTCGGATGGGGGTCCCCGCTCGATCGGGAGCCCCCAAAGGGGTCCGACAGCCCGCACCCATACCCACAGCCAGTCCTTCTCCCTCCGACCTCCCTATGGGTATGGGTGTGTGTGTGTGCGTGTGTTGTTCGCTCGTCAATCAGGGGGTGCGGGCGCGCTTGGGTGTGGCCCCCCCCGCCCCCCGGCACTCCCCGAGAGAGCCGCGCACCAAAAGCCACTCTGGCACGGGGCCGCTCTCCAGACGTGGGCCGGCTGAGGCAACGACGCTAGCTCTCCCGCCTGGCCCGGGTCCGCTTCTGGAAGCGGAGGATGGGGAGGAGAAGGAGGAGGAGGAGGACGAGGAGGAGGAGGAAGAGGAGGAGGAGGAGGAGGAGGAGGAAGAGGAGGAAGAGGAGGAGGAGGAGGAAGATGAGGAGGAGGGGCCCCTCCCAGGACAGAGGCACCCTGGCCCGCTGTCGAGGCGGAACCGGCCGCTGCGACGTCAGGCCTCCAGGAAGCCCGAAGAGGACGAAGAGCGCCAGGGAAGACAGGCTTGAAAACTTGACCTGGCACCAACTTGAAGTCGGGCCTGTCCTCGTACAGGGTGACTTCGGACGAAAACACACACAAACAATAGGAAAAAAAAGTGCTCCAAAGTGGCCCAAAAACAGTCAAAACATCGTCCCCAGACGATGTTTTTGATTCTGTTTGGAAATCCCCCCTGTAGAGGGACAAGCCCGACGTGACACCAACGCAGAGGGCTGACTCCACCGGGAGAAGACGCCTCCGGACAGCCTTCGGCCGCACGCGAAGGGGCCCGAGTGCTGCCAGCACCGCCGAGGTCGGGCCGGTGGAGGCAGCCACCGCTGGCCCCGAAGGGTCTTGAACACACTCCGGGGCAGGCAAGGGAAACCAATTAATTGTTTCGTTTAACGGGCGAAGAACGGTATACAAAAAACTGTTTATTTAATACCGTTCTTCGCTCGCTGCTTCGTGGGCTTATTGACGGATTGGGGTTCCAATCGCATCTGGGAACTAATCATTACTTGTTTCGTTTAACGGGCGAAGAACGGTATAAGATAAGCTTTTTCGCTGTCGGGGGCGCCTGTCCCTGGGCGGCTGGAAAGTTTCTACCCCTACGGTGGCACCGTAGGGGTACAAACTTTCCAGCCGCCCAGGGACAGGCGCCCCCGACAGCGAAAAAGTGTATTTTATACCTTTCTTCGCTCGCTGATTCGTGGGTTATTGACGGATTGGGGTTCCAATCGCATCTGGGAACTAATTATTCCTCCGCGGCGGCCACCGAACAGGCCTCCAGTCGTCGCCGGAGGGGAGGGGAGAAGGGCAAGCTAGGTGCGCTCGCGTCATATCTGACGTCCTACCCCTCCCTCCCATCCCTTACCATGGCGCTGATTTTCTCTATCCGCGGACGCGTGTCGTAGCGGACCTGTGGCTCCGCGCGCGCGTGCGTAGTGGGTGGTGGTGCACGTGCGTGCGTGCGTGCGTGTGTGCGTGGTTGTCGTGGTGGTGGTGGTGGTGGTGGTGGTGGTGGTGGTGGTGGTGGTGGTGGTGGTGGTGGTGGTGGTGGTGGTGGTGGTGGTGGTGGTGGTGGTGGTGGTGGTGGTGGTGGTGGTGGTGCTGGTGGTGGTGGTGTTGGTACTGGTGCTGGTGGTGGTGGGTGGTGGTGGTGGTGGTGGTGGTGGTGGTGGTGGCGGTGCGGCGCGGTGGTGGCGGGCGGATGGGCGCGCGAGAAAAAGGCCCGCGCTGGGGCGAGAACGCCATCCTGAACGACGGAGGCCAAACATCGATCCGAAAATGAGGCCCACGCTGCAGCGGGAGCACGATTCGAAACGATTCGGGAGCAGAAATGAGGCCGGCGCCTCAACGAGAGCAGCATTTTGGAAAAAAATGACGCCGGCGCCTCAGCGAGAGTCGTTTCCCGGGATTTCCCGGGGATCCTGTGTGTAAAAAAAACAGTACGCGGAGGGTGCGCGGCCATCACCTGGACGCCATCAGGGGAAGAGGGAAAGTATTTTCAGATTGAGTAGTTGTGAAGGAGGAGGAGGGACGAGCTTCGTTGCCCCACCGAGAGCTTACCTGGGGTGGGGGGTCCTCAACATTCAGGACCCTTTGCGGTTCCCAGACTCCCGACGTCATGGTTTGTTCATGTCGAACCCCCAGCCGACTGTGGACGGGACCGAGGCCTGGTAAGGACCCCACGATGCCGAAAATGGTGAAAACCCTCCCGCCGTTCAGAATTTGCCCTTACTCGAGGGGGACTGGGTTATTTAGACGAGCGCGCTCCACTACTCGCAAAGTAACTACTCGCAAATGGCCCGGATACGCCGCAGGGAATCTACGATAATTTGCATCGAAGCAAACACATGATTTTCGGACGCTCGCGAGTAGGCACTTTGCGAGTAGTGGAACGCGCTCGGTGCTTATTGGTGCTGGAGCCAGCATTGAGCAGGGACCGACCGTCCCGGCATTCCGATAGTCCTACCACGAAATGTTCCCAGAACCCCAGAATTCTCTAATAACAAAAACCGTGTTCTTAGAACATAAGCCCGACGTGATAAAACAAGACAGCCCCAACCAGAAATGTTAGAAGAACATGTCGTGGGAACCGCAACAGGCTCTTGGAACATTGCTCGGTAGGACTATAGTGAAGGGGCCCTGGGACACACAAATAAATAGACACATTTTTTTCGTTAAAAAAACAAATGTTCCAATTTTTTGGGGTTTTCATCTTCCCCCCCACTTCCCATACTTCCCCATCTCTTCTTGGAATCGAAGTCGAAGAATAATCGTGTCTGTGTGCTTTTTCCCTTCCTGATACAGGCACGCCAGGACGCCTCGCCACTGCCTGTCAGCGCCCCTCAAACGGGGACTCCACTAACGGGTACTTTGGCCAGTGACCCAGCGAACCCAACCCTTCCCGATGTGGGCAAAGCTGCAATGCAAGAAAAAGGCCCTAAAGTGGCAACTTTCGGCAAAAATTCAAAGTACCCGTTGGTAAATACCCGTTACGGTGCCGTTGAGCCTGACAGCCGTTGCCTCGACCGGCCCTCCGGCGCTCTCGCGCGCCGCCGCATCCTGGCGGCCCGGCGGCTCCCTGGCCCGGCGGCGCGGAGGGCCACGGCGCAGGCCAGGGGCAGGCCGGCGCCGCCGACGCCCCGCGGAGCTTCGCGGGCGGCAGCGGGGGGCGTGGGCACCCCAAGGGGGGAGGAGGGCTGAGGGGGGAGGGGAAGGGGGCAACCCAAGGGGGGAGGAGGGAGGAGGAGGAGGAGGAGGAGGAGGAGGAGGAGGAGGAGGAGGAGGAGGAGGAGGAGGAGGAGAAGGAGGAGAAGAGAGGAGGCGGAGGAGGAGGAGGAGGAGGAGGAGGAGGAGGAGGAGGGGGGGAGAAGGCTGGGAGGAGGGCCGCACGATCTGTGGTCCCCATTTTTGGTAGTGCCGCTGCTGTGCATCGGGTGGCAGAGCAGATCAACTTGTGGTGAGGTAAAACTTCTCAGAAGGCCGCTTGGGCACTTCCGAGCCTTCTGAGAAGGCCCGCCCCTTCTCACTGCCTCCCCTCGCTCGTCGCTGAGAGGGGGACCCAGAAATGCTCGCATCATGGAACAATCGCGACTGGAGTGTTTGAAGCCGTTTTTGGCCTCTGGGGGCTCTCGCCGAGCCTGGGCCTGTCAATCAAAGAGAACGACTCGGGATGAAACGCCGGTGCTGGGGAATGGGTGGAGAGCACGAGGGGTCCACGTTGCGAACAAAATCACAACGTCGGGGGTCTGGAAATGGAATGGAATGGGCCCCAGCGCGATGCGATGTAGGACGAAACCGACGACGCCGAACCCAAACTGCGAGGGAGCCCCTCGAGCGAGGGACGTGCGGACAAGGGATGGACAATACAACCCAAGAACACACAAACACACACACACACGCACACACACACACACACACACCCACGCACGCACGCACGCACACACACACACACACACACGCGCACACACACACACACCAGACGAGCGGAGCAGGAGAGAAGAGGGAGGCACCGCTGCTCTTCGCGAAGGTACCTGCTCATTCTCACAAGTGCGAATCGACTACGGTCGGAACCTTTTGGATCGTGTGTCGCCGCGGCGGCCCTGGCGACACGCTGTGCCCTGCGAGCGGATAGCGTGTCGCTCCGCTCCGCGAGGCGGGAGGCAAGGACAGTCTCGGGGCAGTGACGCTTGGGGGCGCGGATGTGGCTAGCGTGCCGCACCGGAGCGTGGTGGGCCAGCCTCGGCGGAACGACACACTATCGACAAGATCCCGTCCGCAATAGCTGGCCCTTATGTAAGGGCCAGCTATTGCGATCGGGATATTTTCGGCTATATAAGGGCCAACTATTGCGGCTGGCTTATATAAGGGCCAGCCGTTGCCCTCTGCCGGGGGCGGAACAACGGAGCAGGCGAGGAGGGAGGGGAGCAGGGCTTCGAACCCTGGCAAACTACACAGACGCAGACTCTTCGGATGTCCGTGCGCATGCCTTGGCTCGGCGCGGAGGCCCCTCCCTGGCGGGAGGAAGGCGCGCCAAGGCGCCGCCGGGGAGGGCTCTCAGCGCCCATCCAGAGATACGCGCGGACCTCCGAAGAGTTCATGCCTACGGCGGAGTCTACGGCAGGCTCGTGAGG